CTCCACAGTCAACACTCTTAGTACCAGCAGCCAGGAAATCAGGAAACAAATTGCATTGGGAAAGTCAGCTTTCAGGAACCTCTCCAGAGTACTGAAGAGCAACGACATTAGGCTGGAGACTAAGGTGCACCTGATCCCGGCCACAGTTTTCACAATTGCATGCTATGCATCAGAGAGCTGGATAGTGACTATGGATGATAGAAAGATAATTGATGCCTTTGAGCTGTGGTGCTAGAGAAGAGCGCTGAATATACCATGGACTGCTAGAAGAACAAACAGGTTTGTCCTGGAGAAAGTGAAACTAGGCTGCTCCTTGAAGGCAAGGATTCTGAGGCTTCATCTGACATTCTTTGGGCATGTTGCAAGAACTGGTGCAACCCATTCAGGCCTGCTGGCCAAAAGTGAGCAACTGCTTCTAACGGTTTAATTCAACATACCTGAGTTAGAATGTGCATATATTTCTAGGTTAACGTCAGCCTCCACCCACTGAGTCCTTGTTGACTGAGAATTAGGCTGGCATCTCCCTTCTTCTCTTGCTCCCCAACTATTGCTGCTCCCAGTGACCCTCCGTGCTGCCTGGAGTGTCCAGTGCATTCTAATCCTTCTCTCCATCTCTCCCCAAGCTTCCACCTCCATCCAGGGCCAGCTGCAGCTTTAAGTTATTAAGATCAGGGGGTGGGAAGAAATGCTTGTATTTCAGATGCATATAGAAAGCACAAAGAAAGATAAGACTTGATAACTGATCGACTATGAGGAATAATTTAAATCACTGGGATGCTTGGTGACTTCAGGGTCTCAGCTTGCATAACCGGGCAAGGGTGATGGGATGCTACACAATGAGAAGAGAAGTGAGATTGAGGGATGACATCAGAAGGCCCACTGGCTACAGGTCTGGCCGGCAGGAGCCAGCTCAGGACTTCAGCTGCCCCAGGGAGGTAACTGAAGCTGTGGGTCTGATATCACCCACAGGTTAGAAACCAAAAAGAGCCTGGAACCAAAGCCTGAAGACCACCAAAGTTTCAGAGAACAGAGCAGAGGCTTAAATGAGACTGGGGTGGGGAGGGTCTGCAGTTACAGGAGCAAATGAACAGGGTGAGGGCACTTTAGGTGTAAACAAGAGGACAGGAAGAGAGCTTAATGGAGATGTTGCCATTGTGTGTTATCTAGTCTGAACTGATCCATAGTTGACCCCCTAGCAGGTTTCCAGAGGCAGTAAACCACATGGGAGGAGACTGCCCATACTTCTTCTGCTAATGGAGGTAGGCGGAGGTTTTTAAAATGGGAATGAGAATGGGGATGACTTGACGTAGGGTGTTCAGTTGCAACTCAGAAGCAAGTAGGAGTGTTTGAAGAGGCAGGAGAGAAGGGGGTGAGGAGTGGGGTGAGGGCCCTAAGAATGTGGAACAAGGAGAGGACGAAGTGGCGGAGGTGGACCTGTAACCAGGACCCTGGCTATTCTCATCCTATCCGAGGGCATCAGTCTTACTCTGAGCATGAGATGCAGCCGCCTAGCAGAGGGCCAGAACAAGGGACCAGCGAGCAGAGGGAGGGGTGGAGGAGCAGCCGCAGAGCGGGATCCTGGGGCTGTTCACAGCGCCAAGATGCTTACAAGTTAGAGACCATGATTTAAAGTTCTTTCCAACAGAGTTCACAGGTATTTACAAAGGATTACAGCCCTGAAGCACACCTTTTCCAATTCCAAACCATGCAGTGTTCAGACAACAGCTTCTTGGTCTAGGTACAGGTTTAATTTATAAGATTTATTAAGCTGAACCTTATGAATAAGAGTATGGCATCAAGATTGAAGAAAGATTCATCAACAACTTGCATTATGCAGATGACACGCCCTTTCTTGCTTAAAGTGAAGACGACTTGAGGCACTTGTGGCAAAGGATCAAGGACTGTAGCCTTCAATAAGGTTTACAGCTCAACACCAAGAAAACAAAAATCTTCACCACTTGGCCAGAGGGCAGCATCCTTATAGATGGAGAGAAGTCTGAAACTGTCAACAATTTCATCTTTTTTGGACCCACAATCAAAATTCTTTGTACCAGCAGACAGGATATCTGGAGACATATAGCACTGCAAAAGTCTGCTACCAGGGACTTCTCCATAGTCCTAAAGAGCAATGATATCAATCTAAAGACTAAGGTACACCTAATTCAAGCCACAGTCTTTCCAGTCACCTCATACATCTGAGAGCGGGACAACTAATAAGGTTAACAGGTGATGAATCCATGCCTTTGAGTTGTGGTGTTGGAGAAGAGCACTAAATAATATCTCATGGATGCCGAAAGAATAAACAGATATGTCTTGGAGAAAATGCAACCAGGGTGCTCCTTGGAAGCAAGGATAGCAAAACTTCATCTCACATATTTTGGGAATGTTGTTAGAAGAGGTGATTCCTTGGAAAGGGATGACATGCTTGGAAAAGTGGAGGGTCTTCCGGAAAAGAGAAGAGCCTCGAAGAGATTGACACAGTTACTGCAAAGGGATCAAGTGTGTCAAAGATGAGGAGGATGGCACAAGACAGGGCCTGAGCTCAGATCTGTTGTTCATAGAGTCACTAGAAATCATACCCAACTTAGTAGCTCTTAACCACCACCATTGCCGAGTTTAGCCTCTAGGTGGCAGCACAGAGGCGGGACTAAAGAAAGGAGGGTGAATTTGGTAGCCGGGAAGGTGACTGGAGGGGTGTTAAGGCTGCCAGATCCTGACAGAGGTGGACTGAAAGGGTGAACTGTGCTGATGTGGAGAGAGACCAAGACAGGAAGAACTGAGGGGAAGAGCAGTGTGGCTGCAGTATCCAAGAAGGTTAAGAAACCTGCAAAGAGTTGCAAGGACCAGGAGGCTGTAAGCAGACAGAGGTCTGGGAGGGATGCTGAAGAGATGGACAGTTTCTGCTGAGAGTGGGGCCCAGAGAATTGGCAGGTGACATAGACGGAGGCAAAGCCCTCAGAAAACGCCAAGAATGGTGGATGTCGAGTCATCCAGGAAGAAGGCACAACTTAGATAGTGAGTTGACTTGGAGGCAGGGGTCTCCCCCTTCAAGAGGAGGTTTAAAGAGATCCCAGACGGCTGGGTAGAACAGGGACCTGATCTGATGGTGGAGACCTAACAGTCCACATGTCTCCTTAGGTGCTCACAGGTGTGAGAGAACAGGAGTCACAGGATCTCACAGAAGAACAAAGTCGCAGGGGTAAAGAAGACAAAAAACAGTCTTCGGGAAAGAAGAAACCCCTCAGAGACCTGGAGAGTCCTGGAGGAAGGATTTGCAAGGGTCATCTTTGGAGAAGTATTTCTTGAACAGCCACCTCTACCAGGTCCCGGGGCAGGTCTGCTCTCAGACTCAGAGTCTGGCAGGGGCTTGGACGTGAGGACTCTAAACACAGGAAAACACAAAGGGCCAGAGAAGCTGTCATCTCAGGCAAAGACCCCAGGGGTGAAGGGAATGAAGGTCTGAATCTCAGCTTGCTTCCTTCAGCCTAGGGAGAGACACCCATAGCTCCCCATCTGGGGATCCCTGTAGTCATTCACTGCCTTGTTCACTCATTAATCAAGATTTATTGAATATGTGCAGGGTGCCTGTAGGAACATGGCCAGGCATGGAGGGGGATATGTGGGGACCAGGACAGGGCATATGCCACAGGTTACAAGAGGACTGGAGCAGGAGCAGTAAATAGGGAACTCGTTGGGAGGGGTGGGGGCTGTTCCCTCTCTGGAGGTAAGAGTGGTGGGTATACAACTGGAGAAGTTTCCAGAAGGGATCAGACTCGAAGATTCTCCATGGGGACTCTGTCAGAATCTTCAGGGGGAACATCTGCTCCAAGAATCTGGGGTGTCCCACCACCCCCATCAAGACCCCCAGCGGAGGCACTGAGCTGGGAAGTCACTGAGGAGAGAGGGAGGGAGAAATAATGGTTGACCCACTGGGTGACTCGGGAACGCCGGATCCCTCGCCGGCGCCCTGGTCCTCGTGTCCGGCGCCCTGGTCCTCGTGTCCGGCGGGGCCAGCTAAGGGTTCTCTGAAGGGTGGGACCCTCTTGGGGTGGGGCAGAGTGGTTGGGAGGTCCTGTGGTGACAGGGATGGTGACTGGGATCTCAGGGACAGTCTGAGTCAACAGAGGGGCATGATATAATCTCAAAGGGAAGCAGAAGGCCTGGTGAAGGAAGTTGCCACTCAGTGCTCTGCGTGTTGGGAAGCGGGTCCCACGGAGGATAGAGGCAACAGGTCCCGGATGACTGGCGAGCGGGCTGGAAGGCTGGGCCTCAGGGACGTTGACGTGTTCAGCAGGAGGGCGGGAAGGCCAGGCTGGGGGGCAGCACTTGTCAGGGGGCAGCTGATGGAAGATCTGGTAGGGGTGGGGTGTTCCGTGTGCTTTCAGCTGGAGGTGAGCTGGCGAGGAGGGTGCTGCAGCCGTCTCCACGGGTTCCATGCGCTTTCCAATAAGAACCTCAGACTGAGGGCTGGAAGGACGCTCAGGGCCACCCAATCCAGCTGTGCCCTCTGTTAAGAGCCCCTCTGCCCCTGGACAGGTAAAGCCCAGCCTCTATTACAAACTCCAGGGACAGAAGGGTCACACTTCTTAAAGCCAATCTGTTCCACTGTGAGATGCTCTTTACACAAGAAATCAAAACTAGCTAAACATTAGTCCCCTACATGTGAGGCACTACAGACCTCACGCTCCTTCCCAGGCCCTCAGTAGCTGGGAATAAACAGGGAATGAATTCTCATCCAGCCCTTGCTGAGAACTCAGAGGACAAATGCATAAGGAACCTCCAAAGGCATGGGACATTCCAGAAAAGAGACGGGGTCCTGGAAGGAGACACTACCACCCTACAGCAGAGTATGTATGCCTACTGAAGGCACCTGTCCTGGTGTGGTGGGAGGAGCTGGGGTGGCCCAGGCACACAGCAGGCACATGGAGGCCATTCCCATGACACCCAGGCTCACAGCCTCGCTGGAAAACTTCCCAGGTGCAGGGCAACCCTGGAGTCCCCTAGGACCTGGAGTTGGGAGAGACGGGAGTTCTGGCCCAGAGTGCTGGGCCACTCACCGAGTTTTCCGCATCGGAGTCTTCCGAGCTGCTGATCACCACGATGCGCTCTTCTGAAACAGGCAGGAAGATGTCATTAGGTCCTGCTTGGGTGGAATAGGCAGGCCAGTGCTCTGAGTGGGCGCTGCATGCCCTGCAGAGAGGGACACAGACATTCACTGTGCATGTGACGGGGCCTCTGGATGGTGTGTGCAGAGGGGTCACTGCCATGAGTATTTTACCACTTCCTTGCTGTTCATATTTACTCAAGCCATGCAGCTGGGCATCTTTTGCAACTCTTAACAGAGCACATTGATTTGTTCCACTTCTCAACCCCAAAGTTAACTGAGAACCCTTCAAGAGCCAAGGGCCCTTGAATGGAAGGAATACAGGCCAGGACTCTCGGTATGCAGTCAGGGCTTGGTGTGTGACCAGGCTCCAGGCTCAGTCTGGGGCATAGAATGCAGAATAAAGCTGTTGAGGCAGATCTGGGAAGCAGAACTAACTCTGTTGATCCAAGATTCAAGGTGTTGACCATAACTTCTGTCCAAGGAGTCCGTCCCTGGCAGTGACTATGAATATCTCAGACAAAAGAGATCCCCTGGGAGGGGATTTAGCTTTTGCAGAAAACAATTTAGGTAAAGGACAGGTGTGGACTTCATCCAAGTCTTTATCCAAGGTCTCCACCCGTAAGCATTTTCTCAGAGACCCCACCGTATGCAAGGCAGTGGAAGTGTGTGCTGGGGTTAGAAGCTACAGAATTTTGAGTTTTAGTGCTGCGTGCCCCCCACAGTCAGAGCACAGCAAAGCCCCTGTAAACGTCAAGGCCTCTCACTTCCAGATGAACCATGGGCCATTCCTGCTCCATTCTGCAGCAGCCCAGCAACCACACAGGACAATCAGGTTAGTTTCCCCAGCTTTAGAGTTGTCGTGGTGCAGAAGAGGGGCCCCACCCACTCCCTCCATTTCTCTACCTGCCTCCCCGGGTTCGCTGGTCATGTGATTGTCACTGGACAGGATGACCTCATTTCCAACGATCGGGCTCTCGGGGCTGGGGGGTCCATTCAGGTGAGGTGGTGAGACTGCCTTTGAAGTGCTGGGCCTGGGCTGTTTGGGAGAGCTGAGGACCAGCCTGGCCTCCTTTTCCTCCTCTGACTCCATCTTGATGATTTTATGGGGGCAGCTGGTCTGACAGGCCTTCCTCTTCTGAGGTGTGGGTGGGACAGAGACCTCCTGTACAGGGGCAACCACAGGGCCAGGTCAGATATCCCCAGGAACATGGGCTCATGCAGATGGCAGGGCAGTGGGCGTGAGGTCGAGACCCTGGATGGGCAGCAGGGGATTCGACTCTCTGCCTGTTAGACCCTGCCCCTCTTCAGAAAGAAAGCCCTCCCGTAGTCCCCTGTACATTGGTCCTGGCTGCTGCCCCCCACCCTCCTCTGGCTTCTGTCCTCTAACTGTCCTCCTCGGTTCAGGAAAGCTTCCTGACAATGCAGCCAAGCATGCAGTAGGTGCTTAATGAGCACTTTCTCGCTGATTAAGGCTTGGTTTCTCATCCCAGCTACACCCCTTACTGCTTTGGCTAAACCCAGGAACCCAAAGCTCTTAGGAATGCTTGCATTCAACTAGGAGGAGCATAGGGGCCTCCCACCTTGATGGTGACACACAGCTGTTTTGAATGGACAGCAAGTCCAGCAGTTCAATTTCTGGGACGTATGGTCCCAGGGATATTAATATAGCGGCTGGGATGTGGGCGCTGGGAGAAGAAGAGGCACAGACTCCAGAGATGAAATTTAAAACATCAGATGCGATTTAAACCATTTATCAACTACTTCCATAAGTCTGAACTTGCTCAAGTTCAAACAAATCATGTACTTTTGATAAAAGTACATGCAGAGGATAGAAAAGCAGAATTACTGGAGAGTGGAGAGGCAGGATTCCAGCTTCTTGGATAAAACGCAAAACTCACTGCCATCCAGCTGGAACTGACTCACAGCTCACTTTCTGGCAGGCTTTCAAGAGGCTGTAAATCTCATGGGAGGAGACTGCCCATATTTTTCTGCCTCGAAGCCACTGTTGGTTCAAAACTGCCAGAGAAGCACCACCTTGGGATTAGCAGCATAACCCTCCACCAATTATGCTCCCAGAGCTCCCTGCTGCTCTGCTATTGCTTTGACAATGTGCATAATGTACAGCACCATCTTGAAGACCCCCCAGCCAAGGTTCAGAGTGGACAAAAGATGCTGAGCGGACTCAGATGCTGTTTCTAAGCGTCTTATGGCTCCCTGTGAACCAGGAGCCCAGGACGAGGTCTCTGGGGTACCTGTGTCCCATGCCTGTATCCATGTCTAGGACGAGTATGAATGGGGTCACAGAGGGTCCGAAGCAGGCAGAAGCTTACCTGTCTGTAGGTGGGGTCTTTGATGGAGAATGCAAACAAAGGCACCGGATGCGCACCCGGCTCTTGATGGACCACGGATGCTGACTGGGCCTCAGCCACCTCCAGGTCCTGCTCTGGAATCTTCTGAACCTTCTCTGGCTAAAAAAAAAAAATCAAGAAGCCAGAGTCAGAAATGACTAGGCAGCAGGCCCAGGGTTAGGAACTCCAGGCTCATGGCCAATCCAGGACTGAGTGACATCTCCAGGGCGTTACCTAGCCCCAGGTGCAGGCTGCCTGATCCAAAGCGGGGAGCCCCCTGGGAACAAGAAAACCCCCAACTTAAACTCATCAAGCTGGTTCTGACTCATAGTGACCCTCTATCAAGTTACCAAGGTTCTAAATCACAGTGGGTAGAATGCCCGTCTTTCTCCCAAGAAGCTCTGGTGGATTAAACCATCGAAGATGTGCAACCTTTGCATTAGAGTCAGACTCACTTCAGACTAAGCCAGCAGCGCTCCAACTGAGAGTAATAACTCAACAACTCAATCTCACTGCCATTAAGTTGGAACTCACACACAGCCAACCTTCCAGCGCGTTTTCAGAGGCTGTAAATTGAAGAAGAGATTTCCCCTCTTTCTTCTGCGAAGCTACTGGTGGATTTGAACAGCTGGAAAGGCCAACGCCTGTAGGTGAGCAGCACAATTCCCTGTGACCCACAGTACCAGAACTCCCTCTGGGAACAAGAGGCCTCCCCTAATCTTCCCTGACTCCACCTCATCCAGGGTTCCTAGTCAGGGACCACTTCAATCTAGGTGTGTCCTAACAGGCCTGGGAGACGGCCTCAGGGACCATATTGCTCAATGCGCCCCAAGCCCGAGAACCAGCTCCCAGCATACACAACTCCAGCAACAAAGGGCTCCTTACTGACGGAAGCAGCTCCTTCCATGGTGGCAAGCTTCTAACAGTGAGAAAAGTCCTTCCTTAGTAAAAGCAGCCACCCTGTGACTGTTATCTCTGTAGGGGTCAGAACAGCTGCCATACAAGTTACGCTAATCATCTTAAGTGAATTGTGCCCCCTTCTTTTGACAAAATGAGACTAAAAATAACAGTTACCTTACCATATCATAAGGATTAAATGTGCTAATATATGAAAACTATTTAGACTAGCACCTGTTAGTTGCACTATTTAGACTAGCACCTGTTAGTTGCATGGGCCATATCACAATCATTAGTGTTTTTATTATTACCCTTTGCAAGCCCAGCTGAGCAATTATTCCAAAAAGGTAAACATGGGACTATCAAGTGAACCAACAATTCCACTTTTAGGCATATGTCCCAAAGAAATAAAAGCAAATCCTTGGACAAATGTTCACAGCAGCACTATTCATAATAGCTAAAAGTAGTAAATAATCCAGATGTCCATCAACAGATGAGTAGATAAATATGGAATATCTATGCAATTGTGTGTATAGATCTACATATACACACACATCTATTTCCCCAAACGCATTCTAGTCCAGGCCTCACTTGCTATGCTGTTGTTGTATTAGGTGCTGTCAAGGGTACACAGCAATTCCATGCACAACAAACAAAATCCTGCCTAATTCTGCGTCATCCTCCCAAGCTTTGCTGGGTTTAAATCCCTATTGCAGTTACTGTGTCAGTCTATCTTACACTAACCTAGCTGGGCCTTGGTTTGATCTTTTGTAAAAGAGCAGGTTGGATTTCACACTGTTTCTCAACTCTACAGTCTCAGATGCAATGTTTGCCTCCGTGAGGAAGCTCTCCCTGATTGCCTTGGCAGAGAGTGAGCTCTCTCACCTATGGGGTCATGCTATGGCAAATCTAGACAGGTTCTCTACCATCTTGCCCTCTGCCTGAAGTCCTATCTTCCATAAAGGATCATCAGTCCTGGGCCTAGACCCCTGTAAATGTAGATGACCAGAATGGGGCAGAGACAAGATGCCACATGTAGGAGCTGAGGAGGGTCTTCTTGGTGAGCATGCTGGTGAGCACCAAGGAGATGAAATGAACACCAAGTCAAAGAGATGCTATGTCATTTCCACCTAAGGCCAGCACTTTCTAAATCAGAGAATTCCAGAGATGAGACCAGCTGCCTCAAGAAAACAGTATAGTACTCCCTACACCTGGAGGTGTGTGGATGCAGGTAGACATCTGTGAATCAGGGTGCTGCCGAGGGAACGATAACATTAAATGGCACAGGAGGGCTTTCCAGCCATGATTAACTATGCCTGTGAGGTGTATGCTGGCCACCAACCACCACCATTAGAAGCCATGCTGCTGCAATGGGAGTCTGAATTCCCACCCCAATCTTCTGTAAGAACCATGTGTCTTGGGGGGAGAGATACGTCCATATTTACTAACCCTAGGGAAATTAACACATATTTGGATGAGCTCACTATGAGAGGAAGAGGTCATCCATCGGCTATGTCTATCTGGGCTACTTTACAGTGACCCCTTTGTTCAAGTCCTTTTGTTCACACATAGGCCTCAAGCGACCCCTCTTTTTTTTTTTAAAGCTACCCCTCTTGAACTGGTTTGCATCATATTATTATAAGCTACTTTGGCATTCAGGAGTCCAGAGGCAGCCAGCCGTTGCTGGATATTTTCCTTTACCCCAACGCCAGTTCAGCTACTTGCTGTCCCTGTCTCAGGTGGTCTCCCCACTCTGTTACTTATAAGCATAAGAACAGCAAGCAGTGGGTTTTCTTCCTGACAAGGGGACTCCCAATCCACTTGGCTGGGTCCGACCACTTCCGCTTCACCTCAACCCCTTCTTACCTGATCAGTGTCTAAAGGCTCACTGGGAGTGCTGACAGCTTCTGGACTGGCTCTCCTGTATTGAGCTGCATCTGGAGAACAGAGAGAAGGTCTCAGGGAGGTCAGGGCAGTCACTGGCGAGGGGCAGCCTGGCTTGGGACAGTGACAGGGAGAATGTCCCTAAAGACCCACACCTCATATCTAGGGGGAACTGAGGAAGCTCTGCCAGGACTTCCTCCCAAATAAGGGCAGCTTCAAAGAGGGGCTTGGAGTTGGTAGGAAAGTTCTCTTAGCTACAGTGGGCATGAGCCCAGCACAAAGGGAGAGTGGCCAGCATTAGAGTGACCTTGCCTTTGGCTCCAAACTCAAATGTACTTCTCTCCATCTCTAGGCCACCAGCAAAGCAATGTGGAGACAATCCAGAAACCACCATTGTTCACTGACTTCTCCACATTCCATGAAGAGGGACTGGTACATATTACACATAATCTCAATTTCTCAAATAACCACAATATCTCATACAATGGCTCCTTTCTTTGCCCCTGTCATGTTATAAGGCCCAAGGTTAGTGAGTTCAACTCTGTGGGGTTATTTTCTGTACACAGGCTAACATTCACGGCCTATGTAGAGAAGGCATAAGAGTCATGCCCACTCTTTGGAACCCATGTGGTCTAGGCAAAGCAGTAAACGATCCATCATTGGTGCCTGCTGATAAGCCGTCCAATTCTGCAGTATCTCCTTTTTCTAAGTAAGAGCATCCTCACAGCTGCCCAGAGGTTACATTTCAGATCAATTCAGAGTCATTAACATCTCTTCACCCAGGAAACCTCTTTTGCCCACTGTTTCTGAGAGACCTCCTTGGATGCCACGAGCTTGTCTAGAGCTGCTCGGACTCTTGGATTGGGACTGCAGAGCCAAGTGTTTTCCAGCTCTGTGATGCACCCACAGCTCATCTCCTGGTTAGACTGGGTATCACCTGAGGTCAAGATCTCCTGAGGTCTCTTCATTTCCTAAATGGCCAATTCCTGCAGGACCTATAAAGGGTGGCAGCTGGTCTAGATGACACCCCATCCTGGGGACAAGGGTTCTCCTCAACTGAGTACTGCATGGTTTAGAGCAAGCACATGCTTTCAGGCCCCTTTTGCCTGACTTTTGAGTTGACTGCTCAGTTCCTGAACAAAGGTGCTAAGAGAAGCTTAAGCTAATTAACCCCAGGGTGGTTAACTAGTCCCCTCTAAAGGCAAAATCTTAACCTGGTCCTAATAATCTTTGTAGTTTGTCAATATCTCACGTCTCCCAAGAGCCACAGCTAGGATCCTTTGTGTAAAGTACCCACCTCCGGGTACCTGTGACATGGTGCCAAGGCCTCTTCCTTTATCCTGTGCCCTAGTAGTGAGAGAAGATCTTCACCCTGAAACCCACAGCGTCCCTTTTCAGCAGGAAGTAGCTAAGAGAATACGCCGTCCCCTTTTCCTTATGACTCAGGGTGAAGTCTCTCTCAGGGAGGAGTGATAGGGAATGGCAAAGGACACACTGACAAAGAAGATTAATCAGAACTGGCTTTGACAAGCACTGTGGCATTTGGACAAGAACAAACTGGGAGGAGGGTAGAGAGAATAGTGCAACAATGAATGAGTGGAAGCCCAAAATCTCTGTAAATGTTTATGAAAATTAATAAAATATAATTATTTAAAAAAAAAAAAAGAAATCTATGATCTGACTAAACTCAAGAAAAACTAATTTCCTTTTCTCTTAAAGGTAGATGATCTTTTCTGGCCTATCTTCCTCAGAAGGCAACTCTGAGGAGTAAGCCCTGTGGAAGGCAAGTAAGTTACCCTACCTGAGTGCCCGGGGTACTTACCTGCCTGTTGGGCGATGCATGATATGAGGTGTTTCAGACGCTCCTTGAACTGGTGCTTCAATTCCTCGAAGCCCTCCGTGCGCACGGGGGCTTGCAGATTCTGGGGCTTCTCCTGCTGCAGGTGGCAGAGTGCCTCCCGCAGAAAGCTGTGCATGTCCAGCACCTCCTGGTCAGAGGCATAGAGCTTCATCTTGTGCACAAGCTCGCCGCCTGTGTGGATGCGCTGCAGCACCGTGTCCAGGCGGCCCTGGTGGCTGGCCAGCTCCCGGACTTCGTGCTCGTATTGCTCTTGCACGCTCTGCAGCAGCTCGCGCTCCAGCGCCTGCACGTGCTCTACCACTTCGCTTACGCGTGTGTGGATCAGCTTCTCGGTGCTCTCGCGCGCGCTGGCCAGCTGGCGGATGGAGGACTGAATCTGCTCGCGAGCTGCACCAAAGGCCCCGTCCTGCTGCTGCAGCGCCTGCGTCATGGTGTCCAGCTCCTCCTGCCGCTGCTCGATCTCCATATTGATGTCGCTCTTGTCCTCGCTGTGACCTTTGTCCAGAAGTGCGCATGAGCAGCACAGGGGCTTGGAACAGGCTCGACAGTAGATGCTGAGGGCACACAAAACTGGCTCGATTTAGGGCTTTCCTGTTTGCTCTACCCATCCCACTTTCCTTCAAATTTCTGTTGTTAACTACTTTTTTTAAAAAATTACAAGACTTTTCATGATGATCTAGGATTGCATTTTTCCTAGAAAGTCAATGGTTGTGGTTATGGTGATGTTGCTATTACATACTGTGAAGTTGGAAATGACTCATACCAACCCATAGCTGACCCTCCAGGGGGTTTTCAGAGACAGTAAACTGCAAGGGAGGAGACTGTCCATTTTTCTCCCAGGGAGCAGCTGACGGATTCGAACTGCGTGCCTTTGGGTTGGCAGCACAACTCCTTATCACTAAGCTCCCTGGTTCTGATGACTGCTCAAATGACTGATAAAACCTTAAAGAAATTTACTGACGAAAAAAATAGCTAGCCTACATACAACATCTGGCTTGAAACAATGTCACTCACTCATTGCTCTCTAGGGGGCACTAACTCACTAACTCATAGCTTACCTATCTTGGCTTTTCCAGGCTGTTAATGCCTGCCTGGGAAGGATATTATTACCCATCTTTCTCTCTTAGAGCCCCTAGTGGATTCTAATCACCAGAGAGATATAGCCTCTGAGTTAGCTGCAAGATTCCCTAAATACCAGGCCAACAGAGCTCCCTGGAAACAGTATCAAGATACATATTCCTGAAGCACTACACGAGGTGGATTCTAACTCATAGTGTCCTTCCATTGTGTTTGTGAGGCTGTAAATCTTAGTACGGCTGACTGCTTCATCTTTTAGCAGCCCAGCAGCTGATGGATTTGAACCTCTGACCTCGGGATTAGCAACCCAACGTGTAATGACACCAGGACTCCTTAAAAACATACAATGAGAAAGTTAATTTCTTTCCACCCCTTAAGTCCTCCAGGTGACGGAGTGCACCCAACACCCTGGGAAGCATCTATCTATATCTTCTCTACTCAAACCATACAGCACAAATAAACAGGATGTTGATCCTTCTGGGATTCCAAGACTTGACACCTATTTTCCCATTTAAGCTGCATAAGAACCTCTTAATTCACAATGTGCTATGACAACTCAGTCAATTGGCAGAATAGTTCATAAAGATAATATGCTATTTATCCTAGTTTGGTCAATCGTATCTATGGTCTAAAAAGCTTGTAAGAAGCCATCTAAGATATGATTATTGGTTTCTTCCCATCTGGAGAAAAGCGAATGAAAGAAACAAAAATCTCAGCAAAGACACTATCCACAGGACTAATGTTTTGTTGTTGTTACATGCCATCAAGTCAGAACCCACTTACAGCTGATCCTCTAGCAGATTTTCTGAGACTGTAAATCGCATGGAAGGAAACGTTGCATTTTTCTCTCATGGAGCAGCTAGTGGATTTGAACTGTGTACCTTTGGACTAACAGCCCACACAAATCATAGCTTCATTATTCCAAACATGTAGCCAAGGACCCAAAGTAGAGGAATATGATAGAATGAAAAACATGGAGAACAAAGCTCAAATTCCTAAAAATGATGACACTTAACAGACTGAATGAAACCAGAGGAACCTCTGAGGCTGTTGCCCTAAAACAACCATTAAGCTTGGCACTGAAGCCACTCTCAGAGTTCTTTCAGCCAATAACAGATAGGCTTATAAAAGAGACAATGTTTATTATAAGAGTAAGGAAAGAGGGTTGCAGAGTGGATTATATTTGGGGTGGGGTGGGGGTGGGGGCAGGGATTATGTACCAATGAAGGAGTTTTTCTTTTGCTTTTCAAGGAGAGGAGGTGTGGGGGGGGGGGGAGAAAAGTGCAACAAAGAATGAATGGAATTCCAAAATCTCTGTAGATGTTCACTGAAATGAAAAATAAATAAATTAATAAAATAAAAAAAAAACAAACCAATGTCACCAGTGAGGAGTGTGCTGCATCCAAACAATCAACTATAAACCTTTCACATTTACCCAAAAGCAAAGAGGGGCCCAGATACTAGATCAAATAGAATGAAAATTATGAGAAAGCAGATGCATTGTGAAAACTGTAACCAATTTTACAGAATTCTCTGTATAGAAATGGATAAAGGGGGACTTAATTTTCTGTGTGTCTACCTAAAACACAACAAAGCATTTTTTTAGAAGAACCTGAAGATAAAGACTACTGTTACCATCATTATGCAGAAGAAGAAATAAAGTCATACAGGAGCTAAATTGGTTCTATTAGGTAAAACAATTTTGGGGAAGTAATGTTTGATCCTAAAAAAAAAGACCATGCTAAAGCATTACTTTGTAATTTCCTTCTCTAACTTCCATTATGCATTCGTCCACATCTATGCTACATGACAGGAAACTCTACTGGCTTAGTGGGAAAGAGTTGAGCAGCCAAACCCAAGGCAGGCAGTTCAAATTCACCACCTGCTCCAGGAGAAGACAGGAAGTTTCCTCCCATGTGACTTACTGCCTCAGAAAATCCACTGGAGGGTAAGCTAAATTGGTTCTGACTCAATAGCACACGACAATAATACCATATGCTGTATTTACCAGTAATTACCATACTACACTAACTTCTGGATAATCAATTCTGACCCATGTCAATCCCATCTATGCCAGAGCAGAACTGTATCCAAATGGTTTGCTGTAGCTGATTTTTCAGAAGTTAACAACCAGGTCTTTATCCTAGTCTGTCTTTTTCTGGAAGCTTTGCAGAAACCCGTTCAGCTTCACAGCAGCGTGTGAACCTCACTGACAAGTAGTTGGTGGCTACGCAGGGAGTGCACTAGCTGGGAACCCAACTTGGATCTCTTGCAAGGAAGGCCCACTTCTTAAGAAAAACTATGACTACGATAAATTACCACAGTATTAATGCTCATCAACAGTATTGGTTTGAAATGCTAAACCAATGAAGGAGTGAAGGGCAAACAGTTAAGCACTCCCTTACTAGCCGAAAGGTTGGCAGTTTAAATCCATCCAAAGGCAAAACAGACCTGGCATTATGCTTCCCAAAGAGTCACAGCCTTGAAAATCCAACTGAGCAGTACTACACTCTGTGCACTTGGGGTCGCCATGAGCTGGAATCAATTTGATGGAAACTAACAACAAAAAAATGGACAAGAAGAATCGGACCCAGTTGTCGTCACCTTTGCATTGTGGACACTCAGGAGAAAGGCCGAGTGTGATGCTGGATGCCCTTCCTTAAAAAGAGTTCAGCAAGGCTGCCTGCCAGGTACACAGCTCCAGGGACCTGGTGGAAGGAAAGCAAGACCTTCCAAGACACTTGCCAGCCTCAACCAGCATCCTATCTGTAAGGACCCGCTGCCCCTAGGACTCCAGCTTGTCCATTTTCTTTGGATGGAAACAGGCAATTGGCAGCAGAAGTCCTCCTAAGTCCAAAACCTCCCAGCTGACAAAGGTACAGACCACTGGGGTGATCTGTCAGCAGGCTGCTACACAGGGTCAACACTGACTCTAGTCTTCCTTAGCTTAATGATGTCCTCACCCTCACTCAAGGGACTCTCATCAAGCACCACTCTGTGGCTGACACTTTGGGGAAGGGAGCAGTAAAGGACCATGATAAGGACCCTGACTGAGCACAGACATAAAGAAGAATATCTCTGGGAATGCATGTTCAAAATGACGGGTATTTGCACTTAGAATACTTGAAAGAACCAACTGAAACACAAATAATAAGAAATTTCTCAGAATAATAAGTGAATTACATAAGATTTCAAAGAGAAGAAAACAGCTTTATCTCTTATAGAAAAGCAAGGCAGTCAAATATGAGGGAAATTCCATGATCACATTCACAATAGCAATTTCAATATTGGTAAAAAAAAAATACCAGTATAATCTGATATAATCTGAACAGGAAATATGCCAGACATATATGAAGGAAATAGCAAAAATTCACAAGTTAAAGAAGGCTAGAAAACCAGAAACAAGCCTCAAGTTCCTGGCCAGAGGGGCTAAGTACAAATAAAAATATGTTGTTGTTGATGTTATGTGCTGTCGAGTCGCCTGCGACTCATAGCGACCCAATGTACAACAGCCCTAAACTCTGCTCTGTCCTGTGCCAATCGCCCTGTCTCCGACAATCCCATCCCAATTACCCCAGTCACTGAATCAATCCACCTCATAGAGGGCCTTCCTCTCCTGCGCCGTCCCTCCACCTTTAACCCTTTCCAGGACAAATCTGTTTGTTTTCCTAGCAGTCCATGGTATTCTCAATACTTCTCTCCAGCACCACAGCTCAAAGGCATCAATTCTCCTTCTATCCTCCCTGGTCATTGTCCAACTCTCTGATGCATAACAAGTGATTGCGAAGACCATGGCCTGTATCAGACGCACCTTAGTCTCCAGAGAGACACCACTGCTCTTCAGTACTTTGGAGAGGTCCCTAACAGCAGACTTTCCCATGGCAATGCGCCTTTTAATTTCCTGGCTGCTGGTGCCAAGACTGTTGGACTATGGAGCCAAGCAAACTAAAGCTGTGTACAATCTCAATCTCTTCACCATCCATCCTGATGCTGCCAATTGGTCCAGTGGTGAGAATCTTTGTCTTCTTGACATTGAGCCTTAATCCATATTGTAGGCTGCAGTCCTTGTCGCTCTGCAGCAGGCATGTCTTCAAATTAATACACACATGCAAAGCAATTTAACAATATAAGTGAAAACACAAATCCCCAACCATGTAAGTGAGACTTGAAACCTGACCAAATGATTTTAAAACAAATCAAATAGCTAAGATTTTAAAAAAAACCAACACAATTGGAGTAATGAAGGGGAATTCGTGTTCCCAGATAAAGCACACTACAGAACTACCATTATTAAAAGAACGTGGTAGGAGCCTAAGAGTCAAGAGAAAGAGCAGCAGAACTGACCACCCAGTCCTAACAAAAATCCTATCAACTGGATAAATTATGTTTATTGCACTGAAGCTGATGAGGGAGAGAATAGTTTAAAAGTAATATATTTTAGGGCATTATGATTATCATAAGAGTCTGGAATGAGGGT